CTGGTCAAGGTCCTTATTCTTGAAACAAGGGAGCAGCGTTTCCAGGAGATCGCGTGTTTCCAGGAGAACGCATCTTTCTCAATAATATGCAAATGATAATTATGAGTAACAAAGACGAAAAGCCAAACACCCGTTCTCCTGGGAACGCTACTTCTCTGTTTTAAGAATAAGGACCTTGAGCGGAGTTAACGAGCGGCATCTGGATGCATTAAACGAATAATTCAGATCGAGAATATTGATCAGGCATAAATACCGAACACAGCAAATATTTTCTTTGCAAAGCACAATAGGTAAATGTTTTAATCAAATACTGATTTGCATAAAATATGACTTGGAACCTTAAAGGCAAAATAGTCTTCCAAGTTATTTTCCTTTTGACTCCTCTTTTGGACACCTGCCGTCACCGAGATGTGGGTACACCTAGATAAATAAAAGGATGCCCCCAAAAAAATCTTTTAGAATGATTGTTTTTTCTGGCAAACACCGAGGTCGAGATTGGACTCTTCCTCGAAAATACACATACTAATTTTCTGCGATCGGAAATGAATAAATTATACAAAAATAAGAGCTTATAGCAAGAGTAGTAGAGTAATTTAATTTCGGTTTAGAGAAGCAATGAGTTGAGGACATTGCAAAAAAAACACTAGAACCTTAGATTAGATTACTAAAACTTATTACCGTGAGGATAAAAAAAATTAAACAGCAGTTTTTGGAACTAAATTTTTCTACAACATACATGAAAAGTGACATTTTTGCGATTGGTTGGTGGAGTACAATAGCCTTTTGCACTCCTATTGCACTCAATGTCTTTTCTACAGTACTTATTAGAGAAAGTTTGGGGACAAATTGCGTAAAATTCGATACGTTACAGAAGATAAGGTTAAAAAGTTGTGAAGTTTCTCAAATCTCAAAAGTTGGACAAATAATAATTGAGCTCAACACTCTTTTTTGAGATACATATTTTGACCCACAATCCCGATTTCGGCACTCTATTAGACACGTTCTTTTTTAATTTACAATTTCTAAAACCAATCTATTGTTCAAATTGTATCGTGTTGATTTACGACAATTATTAAAAGCATAGTATTATCAAAGGTTGGAGAACAGACCGAAATTGGTACTAAAATATGTTTGATTGCTGCACAATGCACATTTCCCAGTTTTATATCTCACACAATCATAAATAACCTTTATTACCGCAATAACGATTTGTGACAGTAATTCTCGGGCTTGTTTTAATGGATATTTTATATTTAGGCTGGTTATCGGCGGCTATGCTTTGTTATATATTCTGTGGTTATATATAGCTTCATAGCCAGTAGAAAGCAAAACGGAAGTTAAATTGGACGGAGTTCGCAATGCAAAAAATGCACATAATTTTGTCACATCCACATACTTTTTTAATGAAAGTATAATAATTCCTGGCAAAAAGGCACTTCACGTTTATCGAATAGTAAATTAATGCTGACGTTGACAATTTCCATATACCTATACTAATAGACCCTGAGATAGGGCCTGTTTAGTGGAGTCATTTGTTTTTGTCTGGCATTTTGAGGGATGAATGTGACTAGTTAGCTGATGAGAATATAAGTGGTTTCAATGCCTGCCTCCTGTTCGAAATGTCCACAGAATGTTTTGCCGGAAACTTGATTTCGAACTGTGATTACCGTCTGGCGATTTTTCAGCGTTATTTTTACATCAAAACCTTTCATTCTCTCGATTGCCAGACACAAAGTAAACGCGGAAGGTTCTTTTCTTTTCTCTTGGAAGTTGACACCCATCCCCATTTTTTCAGCTATTGAAAAGCATCTGATATTTTTCATGGGTGAATTATTTATCAATGTCAATCTTTTATTTAAAAGCTAGAAAATTTGAGATCATTAAAAAAAAATTCTTCATGTAAATCAATTTTTTTCTTCTGCAAATTTTCGAACGGGAGGCCGGCATTAAAATCACCCATATTCTCATCAGCTTAGTAGCCACATTCAGCCCTCGAAATGCCAGACAAAAAAAAATGACTCCACTAAACAGCCCCTATCTCACATTCTATAACTATTTAGATTATACTTATATTCGAACGATTTTGGCGTTTCTGGAATTGCCTAAATTATTGGATATATTTGTATAAATGATTTAAATGAAGCATTGCAGTTATCTTATTTTTAGTAAAACTTGTATTACATTTCCATATCTAAATAAATTCGGATATTTCAAGGGACGACAAATGTTTCTCCTTATTTGCCGATAATACCAATTCGTAGAAGCACTTAGCCACAACGACGTAGCTATAGCTTTCACATGGGGGGGGGGGGGGGGGTTTAGAGCAGTAATGGCCGCTCATGGTCTATGCTGGAAAGAGTTTCAATTTAAGACCAGACGATGTATAGGCTACCGGGTACAAGTACTTAGCGTAGAATGTTCTTGCGTACAGAGTACAATTACAAGTATTCAAAGTACCGTATACACTTATGAATACATTCTAATACGACCTTGCATTCCTACCCAATGATGTCATAGGTACAAGTTATTACGCAACGTCCTCTTTTAAACAGCCTTGATTTATCATAGAAATCTAATGAATCCTCATAGGCTGCAAGCGCTGAGGTAGCTGCGAACTTAGCATTGCACATGGGTTATGACGTCACCTCCCCTTTCACACTTCCGTCACATTTCCCGAAATCTACCATCAAACCGCCGGTATAGATGTTAACAATCAAAAACACATTTTGGTTTACTAAATGAATTCAGCAATTTTGAAGTTTGATTTGGTTATCCAGAGTCCAGAGTTTATAAGGACTCGGTTATAACTGCACAAATTATAATGTATAATTATATATTCTAAATCAGAATTAAATTATCTTTAAGATAGAATAAGATTCAATTCTCTATCTTAAATACTTCTAGAGATATTGAGGCTCAAAGTCAAAACTTTGTTTCAAATTTCACAAAAGATTCAAAGCTGATTTTCTCGATAACAAAGCCCTTAGTTTCGGAGTCTCAAATAACCTTTTTTAAAGCCCGTCTGAAGAGCTACAATCGAGCAAAAGATTTATGCAGATAGCTTCACTAGTTTCCAAAATATGGCTCTTTGAAATATTTGAAAATCAAATTCCCATGCATACCCCTTTGAAAAAATTTGAATTTTTAAATTTTTGGATTTTGCAATTTTTGACTATACCAATCGAAAGAGGAGGTGAAATTTAGTGGAAAAGCATTAACGTAACTTTGTTTTTTGGGTTTTAGAGCTTGTAAAAAAATAAAAACGATTTTTGCAATTTTTGAGCTCAGAAAATTTCTATAATTTGACATTGTTTTACTAAACCACTCATTATTCGGTTATAACTGCACATTTTATGATGTATAGGTAATTATATATTTTTAATCAGAATTAAATTATCTTCAAAATAAAATAAGATTAAATCCTTTATCTCAAATACTTTTGAAGATATTGAGGCTCAAAGTCAAAACTTTGTCTCAAATTTCACAAAAGATTCAAAGCTGATTTTCTCGAAAATGAAGCCCTTGGTTTCGGAGTCTCAAATAACCTTTTTTATAGCCCTTCTGAAGAGCTACAATTGAGCAAAAGATTTATGCCGATAGCTTCACTAGTTTCCAAAATATGGCTCTTTGAAATATTCGAAAATCAAATTCCCATGCCTAACCCTTTGAAAAAATTTGAATTTTGAAATTTTTGGATTTTGCAATTTTTGACTTTACCAATCGAAAGAGGAGGTGGAAATTAGTGGAAAAGTATTTACGCAACTTTGTTTTTTGAGTTTTAGAGCTTGTAAAAAAATAAAAACGATTTTTGCAATTTTTGAGATCAGTAAATTTCAATAATCTGACATTGTCTCACAAAATCGCTCCAAAGTCAAAACTTTGTCTTAAATTTCACAAAAGATTCAAAGCTGATTTTCTCGAAAATGAAGCCCTTGGGTTCGGAGTCTCAAGTAACCTCTTTTTATTGGGATAAAATTAAGTGAAAATTTCAGCTTTCTATCTATAATAGAAAAAAAGTTATGACCTTTCAAAGTTTTCTAGAATCTAAATCATAAGATGTGTTTTATGGGTTTGCAATTGGGTTGCTTATGACCGTGTTTGGGTTGTGCTTCAAGGTAGCTTTTGATAATTATTGTAAAAGGAAATTAGAATTTCCAAATTTATGGCCACAGACACAATGTCACAGTGTACAGAAAAGTTCAAAATTTTCGTTTGCAAATCACAACGATCAATGGAACGCATGCTAAGCATCTGATGCTAAACAAGAAATGGCTGAAAACTGGTCATATCGTAACCGTAACATAATAGGTCTGTTCCAACACAGCAGGAAACCGTACAATTTATCGTCATGATTCTGCTCAAAATGTAAAATTTGCGCGTAGAAACCGAAATTCGTTCACTGAGTGGTTTCGAAATCATTCATGAAACGATTTTTGACGTGTTGGAACCGACCTAATGTCAGATCTCAACTTGTTTGGAAATGTTCTTGTGGCCAAATAAATATGTATTTAGTTAGAGTCCAATAATTTTACTCATCAACTACAAATGTATTCGAAAACAATGAAAATACCCGGGTATAACAAATGTATTTAAGTAAAAACGCATGTACGCGGGTATTTTGAAAATTACTCAGTACAATAAAAAGTACCGGGTACCTATTTTCTATATTCTTAAGCAGTCCAAGTACGAGTACAAGTACGCGATTCAGAAAGTATCTTGGCCTGAGTACCGAGTAACTAAAAATATACTTAGAGTACAAGTGAAGAGTACTCGTACAGTACCCGAGTACCGCCCAGCTCTGAAGCCCATCAGGATATCGTCAAAGGCGAATTTTTTTTTTCGGGTACCTCGCCCAAAAACGTTTATTTTTCTTCAATAAAAATAATTTATTCAGTTCAGTGGGGGCGGGTTCGAACCCCCAAACCCCCCCCTTATATACGACCTTGCTTAGTCATCATAAAATTAGACATTAGGTACAATAACAAATAGATACCTTTTCAATGACAAGTAGTAGCAGCAACAATCCTAACAGAGGTAATTCTTCATCAAACACAAATTCCTGAAGTGTCGAGACATGTATGCTCAAAACTTTGGCCAGCTGTCAACCTTAGCGACATGTAACCCCAACGCAAACTTTGTGAAGAACGGCAAAGCTGTCAGGTTTACCCCCAAATATTCCAAATAGAGTTTACCATCGAGAAGGTATTCAAAGTTATCGAAGAGCTCGTGTGCATGATAAGCTTACAGATCTGATGAACGATATGATACTAAATCCACAGAATATACCAAAGTTTCTGACGCAAGCAGTGCCGTTACTTCCACCAATAAAGGACATAGAGGATCCAATGAAGTATCAACCCAAGTATAATACCCGTCTTTCTATCCTTCATAAAGCGAACACACCAATTGCCTTACCCAGGACATCTATCACCATTCACCACTATGAGAAAAACAACATAATTGCAGCGTGACAGAAAGTATGCACGCAGGACGCAATGTGATGCGAGGAGCAACATATTATCTACTCCATTATCCATCATTTGCACGTGATCAAGCATTATGTTACCGACGAAATATCTTCGCTGCTTCCAAGCAAAATCGAATACTTTATAAAGCTTCAACAAACTTATAAGCCAGTCATACTGAGTCAAATAGCTTCTTATCAATATAGGTAGCGATACATGACATATGATTATGTCGTGGGTCCAAACCGACGAGAATATATTTTAATGTTGATTTAGTTATGTTCATTTGTAATTGTGACTATGTAACATAACGATAAATTCCACGTCGGTATCTGTACACTGTATATCTCCCCGCAATAGACGATTTACAACGCACATTCACAATTACATGTTCAATATGGAAAATTTAATTTAGGCAATCGTGTAACTGAATAAACCAACATTTTTTATTGCCATATTTCTGTGGGAATGAATTAGGTCAACGAACATTATAAATGTGACTTAAAAGTACCTAATCCTGGAATAAATGAAATTTTGCTAAGATTTTCTTTTTGCATAAGTGTTAGATTTTTCCGTTTAAAATTAAATTTTTATCAAGCTCTCGACTTTCTTCAAGTCGCCATAAACGTCGACTACTAATTAAAATCTCTAATTGCAGTATTGTTTATTCATCAGCTTTCTCTCCGCTTAATTTAATTATAAAAGTCAATAGTCGTATAAAGCAAAATTTCGCGTATAAATTAAATCAAGTTTACAATTTTGTTTGAGCAAATATTTTTAGATCACTTCGAGTGAATGGGCGTTTATAGGCCCATATAAAGGACATTTTCAGCAATTTATTTACGCCTAGGATTATTCCAGATTTCTAATAACGATAAGACATTGTCAAATTTAACAAAAACCGTAAATGCCGCAGAAACAAAAGATCATAACTTTTGAGAAAACTTCGAAAATTAAAAAAAAAAAAACACGATAGAACACACCAAGTATAAAAAAGATGTAAGACAAAAGGAAAATAATATCAACAACACAAAGGTTAATGCAAAAACTCTCTATATAAATTTCCAGTATAAAACAAAGCTGAAATTTCCACCTTGCTCTTTGATGAAAATTAGGGCTTGGTCTGTGGGGTGTGACTCGGTTAGCTACACGTTTTTGTAGCACGAAAAAGTTATAGAGCCTGTATTAAATATTGCTCATTATGGTGCTCCAATATATAGAGCCGTAAAATGCTTGGATATTAGCTTTGACCGACTTTAAACATACATAATATATATATTTTAATAGTATATAATAAACAGCTAATATCGTTGTCACAACTGCTACATGACGGTTAATAAAATTGAAAGTATATTAACAATAAGGATTTGCATTCTCTGGAAACTTTCCAAGAGTTAATGGGATGCTTCAAAAGTAAATATATTCCGCGGTTTGAGCTTTTAGATTAGAGTCTGACCAATCCTCGCATTTTACGTTCCATGTTCCTACCTAGATTGCGCCAATATAAGACTACCGTTTCAGTAGTAGCTTGTTTATAAATAGCCAGAGGTGAAATTTAGTTTGCGGTGTAAATAAATTCAGGCCCTTTGGCAAAATTCTGACAGTCTCATGCATTTTCATGTTGTTAGGTTCAATCACCAATAATCGGTTGCGAATAGATGTCGTTGCTAACAATATTATTGCTTAATGAAATGAAAAACGAACAAGAGGTATTTAATAGGGACATTAATTCCTCAATTCTTATTTTATTGGATTTAAAGCTATTTGTAAAAAAAAAATAGCATGTATTGTTATTATCTAAGTTTTCTTCTTTACTCAAGTCTATTTTCCAGTTTCTTCTACATGTAAACGTTGCAGGTAATGTTAAATATAGGAAAACGAAAAAAAACACTTATTTTTGAAAAAAAAAATTATTTAAAAATCGAATTTTTAAACTGGCGCGAAAACGCGAACTTGGTTTGTGACGTCACACACCAGAAAATCAACAAAAATGCGAGGATGCCAAATTTATCATTAGTAAATCATCACACATTTCACTATAGCTATATAGAAACTATTTTCGTCCTTTACTACATTATAAAAAATAAAGGATAGGTATAATCCTTATTAGCTCATTTAAATTTCGCATTTCTACCTGTGGCAACAAAAATGTCAAAATCGGCTGTAGCCAATCAGAGAGCGTTTTCAATCACGTGATTTTTCGTTTAAATTTTTATTTATTAATTTATTTAATAATGACTAAAATCTTGCAAAATATTGTTCATTCTCGGTTGCATTGATGCATCTGCGTCAAAAAATATCATAATTTGCCATATAGTCTAGGAAAATTGTCGATTTTCAAAAAAAAAATCCTACCCAAATGAATTTTTCAGGGATGATAGGGGGCGGGTGGGTGATCATAAAACCGAAGATATCACACATTCACCCCTCTGGCGTTTTGCGCTTTAGGGGTTGAAAGTGCGCCATTGGCGATTACTTGGTACCTATTGATTTTACAAAAAAACGTTTCAAATAAAAGATGTGCAATATTATTTGATCTACAATGTTTATCTAGATACTTTTTCGATTAAGGGCCGTCTGTTGCCATAAGGGCTGTTTGAAATTTTATAATGAAAATGAAAAATTTTAACCAACGTGAAAAAAATTTCTACATTTTGGTTTATGAAGTTTTTACTCACCCCCTGCCGTTTTTCAATAGGGGTAGTTTGAAGTTTTTTTATTTTTTTACAAAAAAATTTTCTTAAAAAAAGTTTTATAAGATTACATTTCCTACAATTTTTCCCAATCAACTTTTTTTGTAACTCACCCCCATTTAGCGGGGGAACACTTCCCTTAGGGAAATTTTAGTTTTTAGGGGTGTATATTATTTTTATTTATTTTTTTATTTTCTCGCCTTTAGTGCATATAAAAAGTTGCAATTAACATTGTAGTAAAAGGATTTTTTTTCCACCACCTTTTTGTTTTTAGGGGTAGTTCGCCTATTTCCAACTTTATGAAAAAAAAATTATAAAGAAAGGTTGTTTAAGATAATAAAATGAACAAGTTTTCTTGATAAATTTTTTTTTCTCCAAACGTCAGAAAAACGTCACTTTGTTAACCCCTGTCAAGATGTCAGAAATTTGATTTCTATGCTGCTAGGCAAATCCAGCGGGTTAACACCTGTCGAGGTGGTAGAAATCTAATTTGTATGCTGCTTGGCAACCCCAGCGGCAGCAAAAGTACTTTTAGTGCCGCTGGAGCGGCAGTAGAAGTACTTTTAGTGCCGCTCGTACTTTTACTGCCGCTCAGCCATTCATTTGCCCCCAAGCTTAATCCATTCGTTTGGAGAAAAAATAGCGTGTTGCATACGGAGTAGAAGCACTTATTTGTGCTTCAACAGTATTGCAAGCCTCACTACGTTCGGCTCGCAAACCTACTGCTTCAGCACAAAAAAGTAAAGCTTCTACTCCTAATACAACAATATACTATTTTGTTAAGAGGTGCGTTTAAATAAAATGTCATTTACAGACCTTCATAAATTTCTGTTCTATTCCAAATTTAGACCACTTTTCAGTAAAATGAAGTTATGTCCATAACAATAATAGATTGGAGTAAGAGTCGACGCATTTTTGGTTGCAAAATACGTAGTCTAAATAGTAAAATTATTAACAATTTTGTTGACAACAATATGCCTATTTTGGTCATGGATTTAAATGAGAAAAGGACGAATACCTAGAGTACCACACCAACAATTAATTTCCAAAATTTCGGATCATAAAATGCTGGAATAAATGAAAATTACAGAATTGCCGAAAATTTATGATGTTTTTATTCCAAAATTAATCAAAATCTGCCAAATAAGCAGGTGATTGCTGTCATTTTCAGCAGAGACTCAAACCAAACGTGTGTTCAGCGCTTCTTTTAAAGATGTCGCTGAGTTCGGGAAGGGTAGTCACTTCTTTCAAACGCCAGTAAAAACTGTTTTACCTAGCTAAAAATGTGACATACTAATATTTCATTTGCATCTGAATAAAATTATTTAGTCCACTGTGAAATACTGTGTAAACGAATTGATATTGAAGACGTCGTCATCTACTTGTAAATAAGTCAATCACTTACAGAGAATTTGAACACCTGTGATTAAAAAATATTTAATATATGTCATTAAGCCCATAACATGGCGCGCTAGCTCTTATCTGACGCCCCTCTTAAGCTGAAAATAGGCGAACTACCCCTAAAAACAAAAAGCTCGTGGAAAAAAATCCTTTTAATACAATATTAATTGCAACTTTTTATATGCACTAAAGGCCAGAAAAGAAAAAAAAAAAATATACAGGGTGCTACAAATTGGAGTGCATGCATGGGGATATCGGAAATCATCGTAAGAGATACGAGGTTGGTTAAATTATGGCAAAGTTGCGTAATTTGATGCTTAACAAAACGCCGTTTTGTAATTTGAGAAATTTCGAATACTTCCGGAGATATCCGTAAAAAACCGAAATATGCCAAAATCGTTTTTATTTTTTCCTTAGTTTGTTTGAAGAAATATGTCAACATAAATGTCACTTCATTATAGCCACTTTTTCTGCG